TAGGGCGCCCCCTGTCCTTCCTCCCCAGTAGGGCGCCCCCTGTCCTTCCTCCCCAGTAGGGCGCCCCCTGTCCTTCCTCCCCAGTAGGGCGCCCCCTGTCTCGTCCCGTGTCCTTCCTCCCCAGTAGGGCACCCCCTGTCCTTCCTCCCCAGTAGGGCACCCCCTGTCTCGTCCCCTGTCCTTCCTCGACCCTCCAGGCCCTGAGTAGGTGAGTTAGTGATGACATTCGTTCTTTCCTTCTCTCACAGGAAAACCCCAATTCACGCACGTGGGCGAGATCCTCGATGGGATCGATATGAGGGCGGAGGTTGGCCTCTTGACCCGGAATATCCTGATCCAAGGGGAGACAGAGAACGCCTGCTATGGAAACAACTGGTGCCAGTTCTTCACCTATGATACTTTTGGGGGACAGATCAAGGTCTGTGTGCACCCATGTCCCATCGTACCACCTCTCAGGTCTACCCCAGAAAATGAGTCTCACTATACCGCAGGTCACAGTTAGGGTTGGCACCGATACTGGTGTCAAAACGATATTTTTAAGAGTGCTGGCACTAGCTACCATAATTTACACACTAAATACCTTAAGCATTATGTACATGGGACTTTCAGGAAACACTATGACATGCTTTGGGTCTTTAGCACATGTTGGACACACACACATACCAGTGATGGTTTGTGCTGCAATATCATGGCGGTCCCTAGGCCCGCAATTTGTGTGTCACTGCTAAGGGCTACCAAACTATTCTAGAGGACCATGTTCAACCACTGATTCAAAGTGTAAAAGTGAAGTTGAACATCTCCCATGACCTGCACAGTCACCAGATCTGAATATTATTGAGCCACTTTTGGGGTGTTCTGGAGCAGCGAGTCAGGAAGCGTTTTCCTCCACCAGAATCACGTGGTGATATGGCCACTGTTTTGCAAGAGGGATGTTCTGAAAATCAGGATTTGTATCCATCATTGCCAAGACAAATTGATGCTGTATTGGCTGTAAAAGCAGACCCTGTACCGTACTGATAAATTATAGGTCTAAAACCAGATGTTTTGGTTTCACAGTGTAACTCCTACATACACACACACACACACACACACACACACGTATCTATATATATATATATATCATTCTAAAAATAGTTTCCCCATGGAGATGAATATAGTATCACTGTTGTATCCTGTGTATACAGTGACTTCTCTCTCTCTCTCGCATCTCATTAGTAGCCTGACCATGTCTCTACCCATGTAGATCCTCGGGAACTTCAGCGCCGCGCACCTGTCCCACGTGGAGCTGAAGCACATGGGGCAGCAGGTCAGGGGCAGCTATCCGCTGCATTTCCACATGTGCGGCGACGTGGACCAGCGCGGCGGCTACAGCTCGCCGACCTCCGTAGACGCCCTGTCCATCCACCACTGCTTCTCCCGCTGCATCACCGTCCATGCCACCCACGGCCTGCTGGTGAGCTCCTAGCCGGGAGATGCTGAAAGTGTGGTGCTTCTGTGGCCTTGATGTTCACACTCGTATGCTAACCCAAGCGTAAGGTCATATCACTTGGCACTGTCTAAATGACATCATGCTGGGCTTATAGATCATCTTTTACTTTTCAGGTAGATAAGACATATCTTGAATATTCTTTCTTAGTGTACGTTGTTTTTTTATACCTTAATACAGGGGCAGGCAATCTTATCTGCAAAGGGCCGGTGTGTATGCAGGTTTTTGGGGTAACCTGTAGGTCAGCTATTCAAACCCAGGTGTGAGGACTCTTCGGCCAATCAGTCCTTTAATTAGTAATCTAATTAGAGAGTTGCAGCGAGTACCCGCATACACACCACCCCTGACCACCCCTGCCTTAATGAAAACATTTCTAGGATTTCCCTACTTTAAAACATGTTCTTCATGACATTCACCCACACAGTTCGGAGTTTAATACCCTGTTAACCTTTCCGATATGTGATGATCTGCTTTCCTGTTATGTTCCATCACTGTTCCACTCACTTTTTTTTTTGTGTGTCCCCTAGATAAAGGATGTTGTTGGTTACCACACCCTGGGGCACTGCTTTTTCCTGGAAGACGGCATCGAGCAAAGGAACACCTTCTTTCACAATCTGGGCCTGCTTACTAAGCCCGGTACCATTCTACCCACAGACCGCAATGAGACCATGTGCACTTCGATCCGAAACAATGTTTATGGGAGTTACGTCCCGGTACCAGCAACGGAGTGCAAGTAAGTGTCACACGCCAAGGTGCGTGTTTGTATGTACATGCACACGCCTTCAGACAGGTGGAGATGAGCCTTTTTGTGTAAAATTATTTTTACACCAATTTTTACCCTTTTTTGTAAAAATTGTGTAGTCTTATATAGGCATATTTCATTAAAGATATTTATGGTTTTAGCTTCAGTAGTTGTTGTATTTGCTTATAACTGAAATATCTGAACTCCATTACAAAGAATGTAATTTTTTTTCCCATGTCGGGAATAAAGCTACTTTTTCACATACTACACGCTCAAAGTCACATTTCCACATACTACACGCTCAAAGTCACATTTCACTAGTGGCGTTGCCCCATGTCCATGGGTTTAAGGAAAAACAAAACATTCTAGAAATGAGATACTCCTCTTTAACTTAATTGTGCTCAGTCTGTTTTCCGTCGACCCATATTAAAAAGCAGTTTTACTTTTAGAAATTTTGCGCGGCTTAAAGTATTCATCTGAATCCTTTAGAAATTAAAAATTAAACTCAAGTTTAAAACAAAATAGTAAACTTGAGAGTAATCCAGAGACACCAATGTTTTGCTGCGCAGCCTCACTGTTATGTCAGAGGGTGTTCATTAAAAACACTTAAGGGATAACGTGTTGTGGGCTGCCTGTTTGGGCCCATTGCGTGCTGGGTGTGTCTAACAGCTCACTGCTTCTCAGACAGCTGGGGCTGCGACTTCAAGGGAGAAGCCTGTTTGCTGATGGCCGTTTTTGAAAGTAACAAAGGGGAAATGGTGGCCATGGTTTGCATTTGGTGAGGGAGGAATGTAGATTGTTGGGTTTTATGTGACGGCGGGTGGGTGCCGTGGAACGCCAGGAACCCTTCTGCTCTTTTATTGACGTTGGGGACAGATTTATGAGATGGGTTGAGGTTATGTGAGCCCGTTTCCTTCTGAGAGAGCCGCCCCCCCTCTGAGTGTGCGTGTCGCATGTGGTTTTAGGGCTGTGTCCACATTCTGGATCGCCAACCCGAACAATAACCTCATCAGCAACGCTGCAGCGGGCTCTCAGGTACGACGACTGGCACGGGCTGCTTCAAGGGGAGCGCCGAGGGTCACGTAGCGGGAGTAATTTAATAGATAAACGCAAATTCGAAATTAAAGATTATGGAAGGCTAATGAAACATTTTCTATAGCTGTTTATCCAGACTTGTCTCAAATAGGACAAGCCAACACACACAATATTATTAACTGCTTACTCATGTTGAGAAGTCTTTGGAAAAGGATTAGAATAGATTCACACTACCCCCTTAGAAGCCCAGGGACCCCTGGAGTAGCTGTTACTGTAAATTTGTGAAATCGAGTTTGAGTTGTAATAACTGCTAAGTCACATCGTGGTAGTAACTGACGCAGAAGAACAGCAGACAGCTGAGGCTGTGTGTTACACATTAAATATCACTTATCCCAGCTTATTGTTTGTTGTGCATCAACTCTGTAAAGTAAGAGCGCAGCTGTCGGGGGGCCGGGGGTGTCACGTTTCTGCTTGTCGTTTAGGATGCCGGCATCTGGTTCGTCTTCCACGCGGCCTCGACCGGCGAATCCCACGGGCGTGTCCCCGAAACGAGGGCGGAGCTCACCCCGCTGGGGGTCTTCTATAACAACAGGGTGCATTCCAACTTCAAGGCAAGGCTGACGCTTGGAGCTCGCCGCGCAACCCGCAGCTCCAGCAGCTGCGCCCACTTTAAGCTGCCCTCGTGTGTGGCTTGACACCGGCTGTCTCCGTTTTGGTCCCAGAGTGAAATGCATCTTTAAAACCACATCGCTGAGTGAAAAAGCTTTGCTGTCACATGTTGGGCAGTTTATCTGGAAAAGGATTTCCTACAGTGTACCCTAACCACACAATGTGAATTCTCTAGAAATGGTCTTTAATTTTCGTTATCGTTTAATATTGGGTATCTGAGCTCCCGGGCATGTTTTTTATTTTTATTTTCAGACATAATGTGAATTTGTCATTATTAGATTAGCAAATAGATAATTGTATTTTGGTGGGTAACTTGTATTGAAATGGTTTAGGAGATATTTTAGATGTTTATCGCTTCTGAGGTGCCGGTTGGTGTTTGAGGTGATTGTGCCGATTGCTGTATGTAGGATGAAACTCTTTGGATAATGTGATGCCTTGTGGATTTTTTATTTTTTTTCCTTTTCCGTTTAACTGGTGGACTTGTGGAGAACTATGCATTGTGGGTGGAGTGTTTCACCACTCTGCAGGGGAGATGTACCCACCTTGTGTCTCCTCTGAAGGACCGTCACTTCACATTCCCCCCCCCCCCCCTGGTTTCAGGCTGGCCTATTCATCGACAAGGGTGTGAAGACCACAAACGCAAGTGCTGCTGACCCTAGAGAGTACCTGTGCTTGGATAACAGTGCCAGGTGAGGTCTGCGTCTAGGTGATGTGGGGCGGTCTGTGCTGGATTGAGCACTGAGAATGTGAGGAATGAAGACCATCAGCCATTTGTAAAACCTACAGCACTAGTCCACAGAGAAAGGAATGAGCTACTATGTCATTCATTCTGCACCTGGACCATACTGCATGTACATATGGGGAATGTTCCCAGGGCTGCCTTTAAACTTTGTGCAGCCTTAAAAAATCAAAAATTTAATTTAAATTTACCCCATTTGTATGTAGTGAGCTTCTTGTATGTTTGTCCAGCCTGCTCCACTATGGGAAATAATACTTTACTTCTGCATTAGAATTAGAAGATCAGACACACAACAATGAAATGTCTCTTCTGCATTTAACCCATATGTGACATAGCAGGGGGCAGCTAATTCAGCGCCCGGGGGTAAGTGCTTGGGGGCGGTACCTTGCTGGTCAGGGATTCAAACCAGCAATCTTTCGATTACAAGTGCGCGTCCCTAACCATTAGGCCACCACTGCCCTTGTACTGCACTATAAAGTCAGACTTTTAACTTGAAAAGAAAGATAAATGACGTCATTAAAAACATCAAATTTTGCTTGAACTGTGTGGCTATGGGAGAGTGGTGGTAACTGCCACAAACCTTGTGTTACAGGGAGATGAACTAAATGAATAGTACTGTAAGTAGGTTTCACATCTGCAGGTTTTGTTTATCATTTTATCATTCTGATTGTTGGTTTTTTTCTTTTTTTTTTTGAGACGTCCGTTCACTCCTCCAGGGAGAGAGATGAACTCTAGCATAGGCCTGTATTTGCAAAGCGCACAGTACCGCAGTACAGAAACGCACTGTTGGGGTCTGCTGTGCCGTGAGAGTCCTGTGATAGGCTCTGACCTTGTTTGTAGAGCCCACATGTGCGAGAAGCGACTGTAGCTGGCCCCGTTCCATTGTAGGCGGGGCGAGACCCCTCATCGCCCCAAAACCTGTGCTGAACAGTAGGATCTGGCCAGCACGCCGTACCGCTCGTGGCCAGACAGGAAGAGCATCTGGCAGGGGGACCGCAACGCCCCTAAAGCAAACTGCACCTCGTCCACACTGGGGGCCCATCAGTCCCAGTTCGTTTACAGAGAAAACAGGCCTCCGGCGATGGTTTCCATCACGTGTTTTTCTGGATATGGAATATCTCGGAAGTTCCTGTTGGGACTTTGAAATTAGCTGTGGACACATGGTTCTCTTTAGACGGACTACTAAGTCACGTCTTTACAGGGCTGGGCCGAAATAGAATTATCCATAAATGTCGAGGCCTAGTGATGAGCCAGTGATAAAAATGATTTATACCAAGACTGTTAACTTTTTTTTTTTTCTTTCTATCCTGTTTCACGTTTCTGTATTTAAGGTTTCACTCTAGATGCAGGTTTGTTTGAAGGGTTTATTTTTATTGTAAATATTTTATTGTAAGAATGTGAATGGTGTGTGAGTGTGTCCTGTGATGGGTTGGTGCCCCATCCTGAGTTGTTTCCTACCTTGTGACCGTAGCCTCCAGGATAGGCTCCGGACCCCCTGCAACCCTGAATAGGATAAACGGTTACAGAAGATGGATGGATGGATGGATGTAAACGTTGATTAATCTTTGCCCATATCTTCCCCTTTCAGCATCTAATTTTGAAGAAACTTTGTTCAACCAAATACCTCTTATTGTCTGAATTTGTTACCACTGCCATTGCAGATTCCGACCTCATGAGAATGCAGACCCAAAGCGGCCTCGAGTCGCAGCCGTTATTGACACCCTGATCTCCTTCAAGAATAATGACTTGGGTGCCTGGATCCGTGGTGGGGACATCGTCATTCAGAACTCAGGGTGAGTGATGGAATCACTCTCATTGTAAAATGAACAGATGCCATCCTTCAAGCATGTGACTGGTGTGGTCGGGGAACAAGGTCCCTTCATGTAGCAGTGGGAGAAAGGAGAACGTTCCACAAGACGGCGTTTCAGCAGGATTCATTGAAAGATGGCTTCCCATATTTTAGAATCTGTCCAGCTGGCCATACTTATTCTTAGCTTTTTACTCCGTCCGATCTGGACCAGCTGGGTTCCATTATAAGAGGAGACTGTTAGCTTGGGGCTAGGTGATTATGCACAAGGGGGGAAATGAAAAGCACCAGAACACAGCCTTAATGGGGGGGTGGGCTTCAACCTTAACTTTTCTACTCAACCTTGTCTGTCCTGTTGTGAAGAAATCTGTATGTCCTCCTCAGCTTAGCCCACCGAAACAGTGCAATTGAAATTTCTTAATAGATGTTACACGTTTTCAAGCAGATGTCGATTTTTGTTTTGGTTGTATTTTCTTGGCTCTACATTGTCACATATAGTTTAGTTATACTTTAGTCCCTGTCAGGTTGCATCAAAGTCAGAAGTATGACATTGAAAATATGGACATACAATACAATTCACACAACAAACCCACAATATGCTGTCGTACAGCTATAATGCATTGAACGTTTAAAGCCTCTGGAAATGACTGTTAAACAAAAATTAATCTTGGTGTTGTAACATATTGGAAGGGTTTATTTCAGTCATTTTTTTTACTTAAATTGACTTCACTGATTTGTCTGTCTTAGGGCAGAATAATATTTTATTGTTTTATCTTAATACAAAGAATTCTTTTGGAGGTCATTTTTTAGACTCTTAGTCATGCCACAGGTAATGGAGAAAATTTTTGAAACTGGATACCAAAATTGATAAGCGGTTGCAGCATAGATAGAACCACTTAACATATTTTTGTTCAGTATGCTACATTGTTTCTTTGTTACATTTAACAGCAAGCACTTTAATTCCTTTTTAATATGTGTAATTATATCCAGCTTACTGGGACTTGTTGCTTTTTTTATTTTAGCAGAAATCCCATTACTTTCGTGTTCTACAGGATATTTCATGTTTTGCTTAATAAATGAGCTTATAGAAGTTATTATTGATACCGTGCTGACATAGACGCGACTTTCTGATTACATTTTTTTATTAAATCATCTGTTTTTTTGCCCTGCTGAGGAGGTAGCTCTGAATTAAGGGCAGTATTATGTTGTCATTTTGTGGGACCCCCTAATGAATGCAGTATGTTTACTTTGGCAGATTTGCAGACAATGGAGTTGGACTGTCATTTGCAAGGTATATAATTTTGTAAGTTTTGTGGGGTGCATAGTATTTGTATTGATGTCATTTGAAGGTAGCTCTAAATTAGATATGGTTAGATTTTTTTTTTATATTGTAAGTTTTGCAGTATAGTGGTTGAAGTATATGTATGACATAATGGGAGTTTTCCAGAACATCAGTATGGTGATGCTCTTGCAGTCGTCTCTGGGCTCTTGTCCCAGTCTCTGGCAAAGCAGCGCGCGTTAGACTCGCACCCCAGCCGCCGTTTCGGCAGCGGCATTCTAAGCATGTCCTCCTGCCCCCGGACTCAGCGATGGCAGCTATCCAAAGGATGAAGGCTCCAGCCAGGAGGTCTCCCAGTCCCTCTTCGTGGGCGAGAGCAAGAACCGCGGCTTCAACGGCGGACAGAACAAGTACTGGGGAGTCGGCGGGGTGGATGGCAAGATGAGGACGCTGCCCAGGAACAAGTGAGGGGCCGTCGACAGGAAGTTCTGCGCACATTGGCATCCTGTCACTAGAGAACAAGCGAGAATGGATTGGCCCCATACCGCTGTCTGTTTACTCATTCTTCACTGACCTGTCGTTGCTGCCCCCCCCCCCTCCAGTTGTATACGGCCTTGTGCCAAATTCGGTAGTGGCGTGAGAATGTAGTCCTACTAGACGCTGGTTGTCATAGAAGCTTGTGTTTCCCTCCCCCCCGTAAGCTGAACTGTTTCCAATTGCATCTAATCTGATTCAGCTCGGAGGAAAGCATCCAGCGGTGTAGTCATATTGGCAGGGAATGGTAGCGGCCCCCTCCCCCCCATGAGGACTGCTTACTCAAAACCTGTTGACTAATTTGCTCCCTTTGGGTTCACTAGAGGTGGCAGCCGGGGAAGGCCCCAATTCTTAGGTTGCTTAGTTTGTTCGGTTGACCCATGTAACCCAAAGAACTATAAAGCTTACGAAACTGGGGATGAAATTCTAGTCCGGTAGCTGTACAGCGTCCTGCTGTCTGCCTGACAGTGAAGCTCGCCAGTTAGTCATGCGGTCGGACTGTGGCAGTTATTCGTTTTACGTATCTGCTCATTGGTCCTCGCTCTCCCCCCCAGGACCTTTCCGATCCGGGGCTTCCAGATCTACGACGGCCCAGTTCGCCTCACCAACAGCACGTTCAAGGGCTATGTCCCCACCGCCGATCGCTACACCAGTGCCGTGGGCTTCAACCTGAAGAATACCTGGCAGCTCACCCCGCGGAACAACCTCTCGGGCCTCTCCTTCCATCCCAGAGTGCGTAGCACACCACGCCCGCCTCACCCCCCCGGCTGCTATGTCTTGGCTTTAGCCTCCAGTGCTCCCCCCCGCCATCCCCCCACCTACCAGCAACCTAATGTTTACAGACATCTCACTAAGTAGAATATAGCAGCTGTGATCATTTTAATCATTAGCATTTAAATTTGTATGTATGAGGCACGTTTTAGGCTAAATTATTCCGCGACTAAACTCCATGATTTGACGGATTTATACACGTTCATTTATTTTTTATGTTTTCTTCTCACAAGCCTTGTTGCTGTAATAACTTACTAAATTTCACCAAGCATCTGTCCCTCCTCTGGGATAATTTACGCATTTTGCAAATGAAACGCCGCTTTTCAGTTGTCAACATGTATTATTTGCTGACATTTCGTTGTTGAAAGTTGAGTTTGATTAGGTTTAAACAAGATATTTGGCCAGTGTTATGGGAAAAGAGTGAGCTTAAGAATGGTCAGACTAGTCTTCTCAATTTTCACATTTCTGACCTTCAGCCAGAGCTGGGTATCTTCTCTCTTTTTATTGGCGAAACCTCACAGGAACTTTGCTTTTACTGCGGTAACAAAAACTCCATAAATGTGGTACTTTAACCTCTCTGTCAGCCACATGTTTCAGCTCATTTTAAGCCGCAATGTCACTCTTGTTCACTGCTCTGTTATATATTAGTGCAGTTATTTTCATCATAATGAAGAAAGTCTGAAAATCTGTCTACTCTCACCTGAGCTCTGTATTTTGGCTAAAATGATTAAAAATGTATAGAAAAGAACAGCTATTTCATTACAACATGTAATATGCAGGCAGTCCCCAGGTACGAATGAGAAGTCCGTCTTTAAGTTGAATTTTTAGGCAAGTTGTAAAAATAATTCAGTACATAATAGGTTAATACATTATTACGTAATAATACAGTAATAAAAGTAACTACATACGGTACTGTACTGTACTACTGTATACTGTACTGCACCTCGAGCTGACAAACTGCTGAAGCCACGCAGTGTTTTCACAGGTGTCACAAAGTAGCGTGTGCGTTCATTATTATGAACCATTGCATTCAACCAAAATTGTTTGTTCATAAGTTGGGTGTTCTTAACTCGGGGGCAGCCTGTAACTCGCTGAGTTAATTTCATCGACCATCAGATAAAATATAACAGCTTTTTGGTGACCCTTGACAGGAAGGCCTCAAGGCGTTCTTTGGGAAACCTGGCCAGTGGTTTGAGGACAACGATCTGGACGGGGATAAAAATTCAATTTTCCACGATGTGGACGGCTCTGCGACGGGCTACCCAGACTCTTATGTGGCGAGGATGGACAACTTCCTCATCCGCCACCCCCAGTGCGTCAACGTCACCGAGTGGAACGGGGTGATCTGCAGCGGAAGGTATTCTCAGGTGAGAATCGTCTCAAACGGTACAAAATCAGTTTTAATGTGTTTGATTTATTTCTCCTGTTGATTACGTTTTTTGGCTCTTTGTGTTTTGATGCCAGGAACTCGTGTTTTAGCCCATCGCCGTGTACTGTGGGTCCCCCGTGCCAGATGTTACCGAATCACTTTTAAATATTCTGATTCTTAATATTAGGTGAAATTAAATTGATGTTGGTCATTTAGAGGCTTCTTGTTAACATTCATTATGTGACTTTTGAGTCCATCCTGCTGGTTCGGGTCTTCATGTTTGTCTGACCACTGTGCTCTTCCCAAAGCCGATCTGTGCCGTAACCCAGAATGGCCCCTCCTACCTGCCCAGGTATACATTCAGACCCAGGGAGCCTCGAACGTCAGCGTTTCCATCGCCAGGGATGAGTACCCGCAGAAGCCCATGGTGCTGAAGGGAATCAACAGCCCTGGGGCGTCGTCACAGCAGTACCAGCCAGTGCTGATGATGTCGAAGAGCTACACGGTGCACTGGAAGGGGCTTGCCCCCCGCGAGGTCGTGCTGTCCCTCATCAATTTCGACAAGTGAGTAGCGTTTCTATGTTTTATAACCCAAGATTCAGTGTCTCTCTTGTGATTTGAAGGTTAGAATATGAATACAGATGCCCCAGGACTTACGATGGAGTTAGGTCCTTACAACTGTGTTATCAGTCAGACATTATAAAGTACTGACGGCCAAGCATGCGTTGTTAGAACTTTCAGTTTCTCCCTTTGTATGCCATTGTCTAAGCTCTGGCTGCCACCCAATCAGGTGGCTGCCCTTCGCGGACAACTTATTCCACAAAGAGCAAGTTGAGGGAGGCGTAAACAGAATTTCCCCACGGGTACAATAAAGGATCTATTAATAATAATAATAATAATAATAATAATATTATTAGACGAAGCTGAGGTGGACACGTTACGGTGCCGTGTGCTGAGGGGCTCACGCTAGATCTAACAACCATCTGCTGGTACTCACGGATTATTTATCACGTTACTTTTTGAATGAACTCTTTTGTACGTTTTGGTTTTGCCCCTTCAGAGGAGACCGGGTCCAGATGGGTCTCTGTTACCCCACCGACACCACATTCCATGTCATGTCTGATATAAACGACCGTCAGAGCAATATTTTTGACAACATGGAGGATTACCGCTCTGCGGGTTCCCTGGATGAGCTTGAGAAAAGCCCCCTGGATCGGAAGTACTACTTTGACAGCGGTACAGGGTGAGGGGCTCATTTTTGACCCAAAGATTTCCCCATAACTCCAGCCACCTCAGACTGATTGAATGCCACACAAGGGAACACACTGGGCTGAACGTGCAAAGACAGTATGTGCAATATTTTCTTATGAACACTGAGTAGGATCCAGGCAAGGAAATGTAAGATGACTTGCAGTGATATTGTGTGCAGCCAGTTTCCTCAGTGTTGTATCACATAGTTTCTGCTTCCTGCTGTACAACAAACACACAAAATCCCAGCACATGATTCTTGGGGGCTTAAGTCTTCATTTGTTTCTGAATTAAATTATCATGCACCCCCACCCCCCCAAAACAAAAAAAATAATATTTTTTTTATTGCATATTGAACTACGCAACTTGTCACCTATGTCTTTGATGTTCTCATACCCATGACTCCGCAGTGGATTTTCAATTGGCGATCTTTCTCATAGTGATAAAGCTGGCAAACTGATAGGGTTTTGAGGAGACTTGATAAGGTCACGATTTGTTTGAAGCTGCTCACGCAGGATATTAAATGCTACAATTCTTTAGCCGGAATTAGTCAAATAGACGTGTGACCAGGCTTTTGTGTTTCCTGCTGAATTGTAGCGCTGACCACTGAAAATGTCTGTTTTAGTCTGTTTTAATAATTTCTTTGAAACTCATTCTTATCACTTAGTTATTGCTTTTCATTTCCGTATTGTGATTTGCAGTTTAAAGTGTAGTTTAACAGCTCAAACCTCTGAGATGATGCGTTCTTATTTTTAAGTCGGAAATGGTCAGAATCATGTTTTATGGATATTATATGTGGGTGTTTCTTGTTTAAATGTTTCTCCAATCAGTTTGGAAAGGTAGCAGAGCCCTTTCATCTCCCCTTAGTGTTTTGTTGCCATCCTAACCTTCACTGTTGTCTAGCGCTGTCCTGAGCCAGAGCTGACTGTAAATGCAGTCGGATGTTGTTCACTGAGCAGTAGTTGATTTACTAAGTAACATAACAAAAATAACGTAGTATGAAACATACAGTAAAACTGCGTTTTGTTACGAACATACGTTAAGTATAAATAAATGCTGTATTTAAAAGATCCAATTTTAATCATTCATGAAATGTTTTGAGGTCATGTGATCCCCAAAGAGACCCCCGCATCCCAGTTCTTACTGCTAAAGTGTATACCTCTGAATTATCTGAAGATGCACTTCAAAGCGCCCTGTGACTTTGACTTTGGTTGTTATTAATGTATATGGGTTCAAAAGATCTGAAGAATAGATGGCAGTCTCAAGGGCTTTAGGTCTGGCATCCTTAATCCACACACTTAAGAAATCATTTAAAGTTTTCCAGTTTTTTTTTAAATTACATTGTACTACGTATCATTTCTGAGTACCCGGCTACCAGTCTGCAATAACAGGAAGCGCCTCGAGGTATTAATATCCTTTTGCACAACTTCACAGCTCTTCACCCCTTTTAAGCAATTTGTTTCAACTTGAATCCTGTGTGCTGCTGTACCTCAAGTGGGAGGTTTAGGTCAGTGCTTCCCAATCCAGTCCTTGGGGGACCCACAGGCAGTCTTTGTTTTTTGTGAACTGGAAGGGAGCAAAAATGTGGACCGGCAGAGAGCTCAGAGGGAGCAAAAAAATGGACCGGCTGTGGGTTCCTCAGAACCGGATTGGGAAACACTGGTTTAGGTGCATAGAATATCAGATGTTGGTGTTAGAAATTAAGTATGACTCGTGAATGGAACGGAAGCACTAGAGATGTAATAGCGGAGGATCATTCTGGGAGATAAATCACCAGTTCCCGCTGGTTTTAGCTTAATGGTTTTTGTTTGGGAGATCATTTGAACAGTCTGGAAAATCCAAACTGTATCACGTTTGAGGTAATGATAAGAATGAGACAAATACTCTGTGACCTGTAGGAATCACAACTAGTGGTTTGATCACTGCTGGAGTTTTGTTGTACCAGTTAAACTATTTGCACCACCTGGCTGTCACTTTGGGAATTGCAGGTAGTAGGGCCGAAGTACGAGAGTAGTCAGGAAAAACCTTTTTGGGGCTTTGAGATGCACTATGTTGCAATGCAGAACGTACAGTGTAGTGTCTTATGTCCTGTGGACCTTCTGGATATTAGTCTTATACTTTGGTTCAGGTGTGTCTGTATTGATGATAAAGGTATCAAAGTATAAATGTTTTTATTACAAATTTAATATACTGTTGACCTTTTAATCTGTGAAGTCTTTAGCACAAAGGGCTACTATGGCTGATGTTCGCTGCCTTTTTCATCTAATGCAAATCCCATTTTCGACACTGACACCTGTTTGTCTCCAGACTTCTCTGGCTGTCCCTGCGGGCGAGACACAGCCGGGAGGGGCAGAGCTACTGCTCCAGGAGGGGCTGCGAGAGGGTCAAAGTCACCGCCACCACAACCTCAAAACAGGCCAGCGACTGCATGGCCAAGGCCTACCCCAAGTACGCCAGAGCTCCGCAAGCCGAAGTGCCGATGCCCGAGCCGGTCACGGCACCCTGCAGAAACTGCGGCGCCACAAAGGTACCAGGCGGCCCGGGTCAACCATATGGGCCTCAGCGGGGGGCACCAAGCAGACTAACCCCCCCAGGTCCCATAGACAAATGTCTTTTCACAAGTTAATGTAATTTAATATCTGATATATTTAATATGATTGTATTATTATTTTAATACGGCACTCACTGAAAAGCCAATGTAACGTTTTTCCTATATTAGACGCATTTCTGAATTTCGTGAGCTGCCACCACTATGGTTGGCGATTCCCTGGGGCACTTAATACTCAGTCTGGTTTTGCTTGCATGTGCTTCTGTTTCACGGCAAGGCTGCTTTAGTTCAGATGTGAATTAGCCACATATCATAAAGAGGGCAATATCACTTCTATATCCAAAATCATTTGTCTGGTTACAATAAATGTCTCTTTCAGCTGGTCTTCACAAATGATCCCGAAAATACCTACCTCCAAGTTCAGATCAAATCACTCAGCCAGCAGGAAGTGGAGAAGGGCGATACAGACTCATTCGTCGCCGTAAGTATCGTTGGTGCCTTGTGACTGTTTTTAGGAATGTAGATAGTGCATAATCGAGGTGGATGAAGAAATGCTATGGTAAAACTGTTATGGTAAAAGCTCTTTTGATGAGGTCATATTTGGAAGTCTGTAGTGGCTGAGTTGTGTAGCTGAATCCTCCTGAAATAAAATGCAAATGTGAGTTGCTTACCAGATTTTGTGCTTGTGATTCTGGTAGATTTGTCCAGGCTCCCTCGACAGTTGTGGTCTGTGAATCCTGATAGTCTTCCGCCAGTGTCTCTGCTAGACCCTAAAATGTTCCTTACTTCTTTGTTGAGGTGGACGGTGAGAAGTTCTCCTTCACAGACCCTGGTTTCTTCTGGGTCACTGTGGATGCTTGTACTGGTAAAGTCACAAAGAAGTCATTTTTCTCCAAGCTGGACTCTAAAATGGAACAGTATGTAAATAGTGGGATCCCAAAGAGGTGAGTGACTAGTCTGGGAACTTATAAAAATGTATAAAAACCAAAAGGAACTGCTGGTTCGAACCGCATAAATGCAGTGTTTGTTTCATTATCTTGTAGCTGTGTAAATCATATTTTAGTATTTTGTCTTGACACTGTAATGGCATAATAGTAGATCATTTTCACAATTTATTTGAGGGAGAGTGAGAAAAGTTTATGGCACCAAATGCATGTTTTGAGGAATTTCCATAAATTCTTTCAAAATGTATCGACTACTTTTCTACAATTATCAGTCTAAGAGAACTTTGTCTCTCCACAATTAAAGCTCCATTGTTCTGCTTGCAACAAGAGGACAGCTTGATGGTCAGGGTGAAGTTGCACAGTACCTGGTTGCTTTGGGAACAGCTAAAGCAGCAGACTTGCAGAAGAAAGGTTTGTGTTTGTCTGTGACATCAAGCGTCATATGGCGTGTCTCAGAAGTCTTGCTGATTGTTGTACCTTTTTTTTCTCCCACAGAGAGCTTGGCTTTCTTTGGATTCCAAGGTTCTCGTGTCATACCTCCTTGGGCCGGTCTGTTTACTCCCCAAGAGGCCGGGAAGCTGGAAGTTCTCGAGAAGTATGTTCCTCTGGGCCTTGAGGAGTACGGTTGTGCACAGGCTGAGAAATCAAAGCAGAAAGATCTGGAACTTCTAACAGAAATTTTAACCAAAGTATGAACTTTTCTAGCAAATGTGAAAACTAGAATGAATGTGAACTCAAGATTGAGCTTTATTTATGGCAGAAATGTTTACGGATTGTATAGAAAGGTTTTTTTTTTTGTTAGTTTTTTTGTTTTTTAAGTGTTGCACTTTCTTCAAGACAAATTCTCAGCCACAACCAAAGCCACATCAGCAAAGAAATTGAGAACGAGAGTTTAATCCTTTTAAAGCATTGATGTGATCCAGTGCCTTTAACAAAGTTAGAAAAAAAACTATTTCAGGTCATGTTAAATGATGAAAACTGGACAGAGAACATTCTACCATCTTAAAGAATTGTTTGCAGTTTTGCACATCTGTCTTTTATGTCAGTTAAATACACGGCAAAAGAACTTTGGATCCTTAAATGTCGCTTGACCTGAATTATCAGAATAACAAGCTGTTTTTCTTTCCTCTAAAATTCCAGCCACTTCATCCGAGTTTTAGAAGTGATTAATGAACTGGGTTTATGTCATGATATGTTTATTGTCTGATTTATTTTTTTGTAGGGGTGGAGAAATTATCACATTCACGTAATTTAAAAAAGATTTCTCTCAGTGCACAAAGTGATCTGTATCCAGTGCCTTTAAACAACTAGAGCAGGGCTCTATATTGTGGCGTTAACAGTTATTTTGTGGATGGCGCCAAACTGCACTGCTGGCTCAAACCCGATAATACTGTCCTTTTCACCAGCTGCTATGCCTCAAGTGGTGCTGTTGCAGAAATTTAAAGGCGGCCATTTGAGAGAGAAACAAGCCCTGAACCTCTGTCTTTCGTTGTGAGCTTGCTGTTAGGCATCACCTGCTTCTTAACCACTGAATTGTGATTTTTTTTTTATATATTTTTTTTTCTTCCTATCATACTATGTATTTTAAAAGACAAAAAAGGGCCTGTTTTGTTTTGCCATCTGAAGTTATTCCTCTTGAACTACTGACAGTAAGAAGGTTCAAGAGCTGTTTCACTTGTATGTGTAATGAATATTTTATATATTTGAAAATGTTTTAAAACAGTAAATGAGTTTATTTCCCTCTAGCTTTTTTTATTACTTTTAATTGCTGCGTGACATTGAACAAAGTGGAAAATGATAAATGTTGAAACTTTTTTATTAAGAAAAGTAAATGTTGCCCTTTATTGTATTAAAATTGTTTTCAGTTGTCAGGGTACATGTATACTTCTAAAGTTACTCAAACCAGCATGAAAAGATCAACAAAAATGCAATAAGGTGATGATGAGAGGCAGGATATAAAGCTTATGGGCAGAGTTGGGTAATTCAGGTCCAGAGAGTAAAAGTCCAGACTTTCTTTCAATCAACCAGTTAAGCATAAAGAGTCAGTCACAGAGTACTCAACTGGTTGGTTAAAACAGAATCCTGGTCTGGACTTTTACTCTCTGGACCTTAATTACCCAACTCTGCTTAGGGGTGTGTGGTAGTTTGGATTCAAGCCCTAATCCTGAGTGTTCACGATATCCTCCCCCCATATGGGTTTGCCTGGGAAACCCCTGCTTCCACGCCCCCCAAGGCATGCCATTAGATGGCCTGACAGCTCCCATGCAGGCTGTTCTCCTGCCTGTGCTGGATGCTGCCTGGTATGGGCTCCAAGCCCCTGGCACAGGGTGTAGAACATGAACTGAAAATTAACGGAAGGTTTTTTTTAAGATGTGCATGTGTCTATCTGGGTTTTAAAAAAAATATCAAGCAATATATATGAAGCAATTTAAAGTCGACGTTACTAGATAGCTACGTGCAGTGGTGTTGGGGGGTGTGATGTATATCGTGATGGGCACACACGCAATAGTCACATCGAGAACGGTTAATACGTACGAAAGATTTTTAAAGTTATTTTGCTAAAATGCAGTCCCCAATCTTCGTTTGATAAACATAAAGCCTTAATCAGATTACTAACCGTAGCATACCGCAATGTTAAGACATGTGTTCTATGGAAATAAATGTGGAGTTCATGAATGATGTCGTTTGGCCAACACTTGTAAAATTAATCGCTTATTTATATGTGAGGCCCCGGTTTTCTCTCGCCCACTCCAGCGTTTATCACATAGCCTGTGACTTTATGCAAGGAGCTATACTGTACGTGATGATATTGTGCCCGGAAAAGGAAAAAACTGTGATCAACAGCCGGGCCGTTATGATAAAACGATTAACATCGGTTTTAGATGGGGGGGAATAGTGACGAACTCGGAGTGAAAAGCATATTATATCCTCTTTGCAAAAATACTTTGTATGAAAAGTATGCATTTTTTCCAAAATATTGCCAAAGTGCATCTAACATTAAATGTAGCTTTGTTCCCATAAACGCTTCTCAGCTGAAAGGTTTCTAAAAGTATCGCTTCGCTTTTGCAGTATTGTATATATTGTATTTATGCTGTTAAGTACTGGTTATCTTACTCTTAAGTCCTTTAACGATGAAGACACTTTGAAATCGTAGGGTGATTTTGTTCCCCTGTTTTTTCATAGCCTCGCCACACTGCCTCTGTATTATCGGTCATTTATTGCCTTTAAAACATCAGATGTGTGTTCATGTAAGGCCAAGGAAAATAAAACGATGTGATGACCCACCATCTGAGCACACGATGAAAGCACAAAAAGGACAGAATGCTTTAAGTATAGTAAACTAAACTTATAGGTAAAAGTTAATTTCGATTACGAAAGCAGAATTGTAGGCCTCAGATATGCCACAGGCGAGGCTCAGGTCACTAAATACAACCTTAGTAAACTAACTACCAGTATGTCTGCATAGTACGATCCAGCGTTTTACCCGTATAAGTAAAATGAATGTCGACTGAATCCAGTTCAATTGTATCAGGCGGTAACGTATACCAACGCCGGTTTTTATTATTGTAATTTTATAATTTAACAATTGATTGAATTCTTGCCACTAGGTGGAGATGTAGTACCGTGACACTAACGTTAGTATTGCCTTATTCATAAAGTAGTGCTTTTTATGCAGTGTTAAGATGTGTTTGTAATAACCTTTTTCAGCTCCTGTTCTGGCACATTGTGGCGTGAGAGTAATCGTGTAGGTGTGCAGATTTCTGGGAGTGAGTGGGAAGAATATTTTTATTAATGCTTTGACGCTGCTACTGACGTGAAATTATTGATATGTATTATTTGAAAAGTGTTTTTACCAATAAATTATTGAATTGTAGAGATGTAGAGAGTTGTCATTGGGGGACAAACACGCCGCCTGAATGATGCGCTCCCTCTGCCGCTGCCTGTAATTGATCTTGGGCCTCTCTGTGACCGCCATCTGCGGTCTGGAATTAATACTCATTATCCATCAGGCCTGTGTGTTTCCGGCAGACTGCCTCGTAATAAATCAGATCCGAAACAAAGACAATAAATATGCAGTCTTGTCAGGATTGCCACATTTTCAGAAATGAAGAATCTGACAGTTAGACTGGATTTCAGGAGTTTATTTGGCGTTCTTTGGAATTTGAATGTCAATGCGCCTTTATTATTAAATTTTAGTCCACCTGTGGTGTAATGGGTCTGCAATTTACTGACATATGCCCTTTTGTTATATTTTGTACTCGTTGACAGTTTAACTGAAGCAGATCAAGAAGTGATTTTGAGTAGAGTAGGAAAAGTTGAGCAGGATGGATGTAGTGATTACCCCACAGCAGAGATTCAGGTGTAGTGCTCTGACAATGCCATTGTTTTGCTGTGACCTTAATAATGCAGAAATGTAATTGCAATTTTATAATGACTATTTGTAGAATGTATTATGTGATTGTTAAAAACCTTCGATAACTTAAATTGCTATCAGGTTTCACCGATTTTTAGTATAAGGTTATGTGTTGTCAGAGGTCTAAAAAAAATTCTTTTGTGTAGTGTTTAATGGTGCATCAGTTAATCATTTGAAGGATCGTTACCTACATGCTTATTATTTTATTTTCACAGTAAAAAGCTTTTTCTCTTTGGAGTATAGCTTCCATCCTAGGTGTATTTTTGAGCAACATTCTTCGAAAAATGTGGTGGAGTCCATCAGTTGTCTCAAACCCTTCTCAAGGGTCTAATATACAGGGGGTGGACAAAGTACCATAAACACTGCTGAAAAATGACATATACTTTGAAATAAATCATTCATAATTGCAGACCCAGATATGAAGCTCTGTCATAATAGGCTGAACGCCAATTAGCTGTGGAAGAGGCTTGGTAGATGGACCTTTGATGGTAGTTGTTAAGGACCATAACTATGAACTCGAATCAGCACCTCATTCAGTATTTTGAGCATCACAAAGGTGAAATTTATGGCAGGGCTGCCGTTTGAAAACCACTTCTCCTAGGTCATTGCAAACCTGTCCGTGACCTGGTTTAAGAAGGACAGAACTGGAGAACTGAACATTACTGGGGAAAAAAAGTAATATGGTTTTTATGAGTCATCTTGCACGCTTCAGTAAAGCCCAAAAATGGTCTCGGCTTGCCGTCCGTTAGCATAGGCAGCTGTGCTATGGCAGTCATTAGGTCCACTGATTCCCAGGGTGTTTAACAGCCATATTACCGGATTAAGTGCATCTCATGGTGCAAACACTGTTCCCTCATCATGTTCCCGTATTCCAGTATGGTAGCACCCCCATATATGCCAATTAACCAATTTGAGTGCTTTTATGAACACCAGGATGGAGTAACATGCCATTTGTTGTTGCCCCCCCGCCCCCCCAAACATCAAAATATCAGTAGTATATGACAGCATTCTAAGAAGGCATGAAGCAATCTTATAAACAAAGCATAACCCATACTAGGTATTTGATATATCAGTGTATTGTTAGGTGTCAGACTGCCATAAAGCCAGTGACATTTTGGTTAAATACAATGGCTGGTAATAACGAAGGGGTGCACTGCTTTTTGACGCTGGAGAAAACATGACGTGGCTTCAGTGCTTCGGTTACAGTTTAGCACCCAGTGTAGTTACTTTTATTATTACTGTATAATTACTATTGTTGCTATGTACTTATTTTTTCCCCCATTTACCTACAAATTCCACTTAAAGACAGGCTTAGGGGACAGATCACGCTCATAACCTGGGGACTGCCAGTGTACATACAGTATGTGCTTAGTGGCCAGTTTATTAGTAAGAACATTTTTGCCTCCAGAACCTCTTCAAGGTTAGATGAGTTCAGAGAAGCTCTTCTGTACCCTCCAGTTGCACTGAGCTGTTATTTTCGCACTTGTGTTCTTTGTTAGCTTTGAGTCTGGCCGTTCTCCTCTGACCTCTCTAACAAGGTGTTTTTCGCAAAGAAGCTACATTGACTGCATGTTTTTTTTTTTTAACTCAACACACCATTTTCTTTAAAGTCCCAGGAGAGGGTGGCTGTTTCTGAGATGCTCTAACCAACATGTATGACTCCAAAGGTCACACTGTGTTCACTCTTTCTTAGATCATGTACCATAGCCTCTCTAATGATTAATTGGATGGTGACCCTTTGGCCACTGTCTCTGTGCTGTATGTTCAGAGGTGCAGGCAGCTTGCCTTACAAGCAGGAGTACCTAGTACACTGGCTGCTTAGTATATATCTGTGTCATTTTCACACTACTTCCCGATATATTTACGTTTTAATTACACTCCTGGGCTAAAAAACTGGCAAACCAAAAATTGTAAAACATTAAGCTTTTGATGGTTTCAACAGCAAATAGAAATGTAATAATTTTAACCACAAAGCCATGTGTTAGTTTGAATTTAATATCAAGCATTTAAATCTTTTCGTGATTTTATCTTTGCACGCAAGAAGACTGTTTGAGTGAGTTTCCCTGTATCCAGCTCTCCCCCAACAGTTCACTGCCGCTGTGATGCGTGAATCTGACCATTGATTTGTTAAGACCGTATAAAGCTTAATATTTTGGAATTTTGGGTTTGGCATTTTTTTTACCCAGAAGTGCATATTAAAATAAAATATTAGTAATGCATCCTGTTTTTTTTCACAGATTTGTCTCAGATCATTTAAATGTTGTAGTTGTGAGTTCATAAACATGTTTATGTCAGGTGCAAAAAGCCCTCAGTGAAGCATTTTCACTCATTTTCTAGTTATTGTATGTTCACTGTGGATGTTCCTCCCTCAGCTTTATAAGGGGTAACGTTTGTTTTAATAGAGGACTTGCAACCTGAAAAGGTGCACAAATCAAGAGATACAGTATGTTTTGGGGAAAGAGGTTCTGAAGCAATGGACTTGTGTGGGAAAGTGACTCTTGTTCATCAAGATATGTATACATGTTTTAATTATTTCCCTGCTGCATAAATTAACAGCACCTTTGTTTGCGTCTAATTTCCCATGTAATTGTCTATAGGCTGCCAGGAATAATGACCGAGGGGGTTCGAAACTGTTTTCTCAGTAAACAACAGTTTTGCATAAACTGCTACACAATACTACACCTTCACCATACTAAACTGTCACCATCTCTAGCCCCTATGGACCAAAAGAAGCAAAAATAGCTGTACTTTGCCATGTACAGCTAGTACAAGTACAAGTAATTTGTTTACGCATAATCAGTGCTGCCTCAGTAATGTGGTACTAGGGAATAGGGCTGAGTAATATGACGATGCTATTGGTAATCGCCGATATCAGACAAGAAACTCTGTGTCGGTGTCTGACAGCGAGAAGTCTGTGATTATCGTCTTTACTGCGGAAGTAGCCTTAGGCCACACGCACACGGCAAGATTACCGATTCATGATTTGGCTTTCAGTTTAGTCTACTCAATTTGTGTGGTCGCCAGTTCAAATCCGCCGGCTTGCATAGTCATATTTCCATTGGGCCCTTGAGCAAGGCCCTTAACTCCATTTGCTCCAGGGATTGGCTGACCCTGCACTTTAATTCATACCTGCATGTCGCTTTGGACAAAAGCTTTGGGTAAATCAGTAAACGTAGCATTTTGAAGCATCGCTAGTAGCATTCTTGTCAATGTCTTACAGTACAGTGTGCTTACTGTCGCTACTAGGTAAGGGACACACCTACGCAGTGCGCTAGAGCAGACGCGTATGTAAAAGAGCTGCCTTTGTCAGAGCATACAATGGGGTGCTGGGTAAACAGCACCAGTTGTACAGTGCCCACTCACCAAGCACCCCCGCCCTCCAGTGAAAGGGTATTTGTTTTTCACGTCGTCAAACTGGAAGCAGTGTGCTTATAATCCTCCCCCGGTGAATTTATACGACCAAACTCATCCTCACTGTTTACCCCGTACACATTTTTTCATTGTTATTGTAAGATGCCTTTCTAATATACCAGAAATATGGCTTTACTGGGAGGATTTGCTTTCAAGAACAGCTTGAATGGAAGGGGGGGTAAAACAAAGTCATAGAAGCTGGTAAGTGGGAGATTAAAATGAAAGTAAATTGATTATTAAATGAAAGTAGCAATAATGAAAGATTAAATCAGTGAGTGCTAACTAGAAACCCATTGTCCAAGAAAAAAGATCAGGTTAGTGGGTTTTCTCTCATGTACGATTACATGAGATTTTCAAGAGTAGAAATAAAACTGCAGGAAGGTCACCATAAGATACTTCTTTGTCCAGTGTGTATGAAGACTTAACAACTAGCATCATTGACTGAGTGACACATCATTTCAAGTCTTGCACCTAATGGCTGCAGAATGAAGCCACCTATGCTGTGAAGACGTCATCATGCTTCTCATACTCCTAAGGGACTGTCTGCTTGTAGCATCTTCTTAACAATTGTGCAACAAATATGTGACAGTTTTTCATCATTACTACTACTTACTAGTACTAGTATTTCATAAATACTAGTACTAAACATTCTGTCACCTACTTGTATTTGGGGACATTTTTTTGGTCCTCACAAGGGGAAACTCTGTGAATGCAATTAAAAATCTAAGAATGATGAGCCCCCCCATAGATATAGGTACCTTGTGTGTGTGGGGGGGGGGTGGTCCAGGTATATCTTACCTTGTGGGGACCAAATGTCCCCGCAATGTGATGAATACCCTTTTTTTTTTACCTTATGGGGACCAGGTAACTCAATTTTATAAAAATCTGTGGATGCATTGAAAAAAACTAAACATGCATAAACTCTTATTTTGGTTACTTATGGTTATGGCTGGATAGGGGTTAAGGTTGTCATAATTAGCATTAGCATTTTTCCCATAGAAATGAATGAGCGGTCCCAAAAGATATCATTACATGACTGTGTGTATGTG